TGGACTGTAGCCCGCCAGGCTCCTCTGTCCATGGGATTCTCTAGGCAAGAATACTGGAGTGGGTTGTCATGCCCTCCTCAAAGGGATCTTCCCAACCTAGGGACTGAGCCCACATCTCCTGCATTGGCAGGCGGGTTCTTTACCGCTAGTGCCACCTGGGAAGCCCTCGCCATGGGCATACTTAGATAACCCGGAATCTATCACAAAATATTGCATCTAGAAGTTCATTGGTAGCCAGGAGGTACATTAAAAAGATGTCATTCCAGTCTAGACCTGAAGAAAACTAAAGTGGGGTCTTGGGAAGGTATTATAGGAGTTCAGTGGTGGGTGGGGAGCAGATTACAGAGCCCATTCCAGGTCTAGGATCCAGAAACAGACAGAATTCCAAACAAAAGACAGCTGGCAAAATCAAGACAAAGCTCCATCCTGAAAATACAAGATTAGATCAAAGTTACCACAAGTTGACTTGGTACTTGTGTCAGTTAGAATTCAACTTGCTTGTGAGTGACTGAAAACTTGAAATAAAAGTTAGAAGTCACTTTATCTCTCATGTTAATGAAACCTAGAAATAAGCAGTCCAATCAAGGATGACAGTAACATGGCTATCAGGGACTTGTGATCTTTCTATGTTGTTGTTCAACCAGCTTCAACATAAGAAATCCATCTTCTACTCTAGACATCAGTTCAAGATTCAAGGAAGGTCTACATTCCTTCCTGCAGGAGGGATAAGGGATGGACCAGGAAAGAAGAGATGAAGAAGCTATATTCGCTCTCCATTTAGAAATAGTTCCTCTACAGAACAAGTCTACTTAAATTGCATTGTCCATCACTAAGTGAAATATCCATACCTAGATACCAAAGAGGCTGGGAAATGCCATCTTTATTTTAGATGGCTATGAGCCCTGTAATTTCCCTGGGGGCTCAGACAGTAAAGATTCTGCTTGCAATGCAAGTGAACTGGGTTTGATCCGTGGGTCAGGAAGATCCCCTGGAGAAGGGAATGGTAACCCACTCTAGTATTCTTGCCTGGAGAATTCCATGCCAGAGGAGCCTGGCAGGCTACAGTCCATGGGATCACAAAGAGTCGGACACAACTGAGACACTAACACACACACACACACACACACACACACACAGAGACACACGCCCTGTACCCGGTTAAAAACTGCAGCAATATTCTAAGAAAGAAGGAATAAATTACTCTAGGAAAATAATTAGCAGCCTTGCTTCAACTCTGGGTCAATGAACAGCTACACTAAGTCCTGACCGGGAATTGTGTTGAAGTCGGATCCTCCAGGTGAGATTAGCCTGATGTATAGACCAGGTGGCTGTTTTTGTGGGAAGACTGCTGCAGGGGCAGGGAGCCAGGCTGGTCGCTGCCATGGCTATGGCTCCTGGCTCCCTCTGTGGGTCCTTATAGTTCCTCCTCCGTAGTGTCTCCCTACAGTCATCATGTCCCAGATTACTGTTTGTCATTGTTTGGTTTTGCCCACATGTTGTTATGTGGTACTCCACAAGCTACAGTGCTCTGGAACATTCCAAGGGTATACTTTCTTAACATTGTTAGTATATATGTTTCTCTCTCTCTCTCTTTTTTTAATTGAAGTCCTACTTGGAAAGGGACTAGTACATCTACCTTAGTCAGTCATGCCTAGTTTTGAATATCTGCTTTAGCCTTTACTGAGTCACATGACCCTGAGAAAGATTCTTAATCTCTCTGGATCTCAATTTTATCATATGTGAAATGAGGACAATATTATCTCCTTTCAGAATAGTTGTTAAGATTAGAGATAGAGATAATACCTGACCTGGGGTTGGTACTCAATAAATAGCAATTATTTTAAACAAAACTGTTAGCTTTATCTGATCTTGACATGGTCACCGTAGATGGTGGTGGTTTAGTTGCTAAGTCATGTCCAACTCTTGCCACCCATGGACTGTAGCCCGCCAGACTCCTCTGTCCATGGGTTTCTCCAGGCAAGAATACTGGAGTGGGTTGCCATTTCCTCCTCCAGGGGATCTTTCAGATTCAGGGATCGAACCTAGGTCTCCTGCATCGCAGGCAGATTCTTTACCAACTGAGCTTCGAGGGAAGAGACCACCATAGACACGTATGTTTGTATACATCTCCAACATAGACTCTTGAAGGGGATAATTAAAATAGTTCAACTGTGTATTATGCTTCAGGTATTTTAAATGCATGTTATCTAATATCTGTAACAATCTTTTGAGGGAGTTAATCTTATTTCCACTTAACAAATGATTATACCAGAGGTCTAAGAATTTTGTGATTCTCCATGGTTACTTCATTAGTGTTAGAGCTGAGATTTAAATCCAGGTCTGTCTTGTTCCATTATGCTTTACATTGTCTAAATTCAGCTGTCCTATTTTCAATTAAGGAAGTGGTGCACAATAAAGCCTAGAGACTTTCCCATGATCCCAAATACATTTTGTGGCAGGTTGTTAGATGTCTAACAGTTAGCCCAAAGACTTTCTCATTCCTCCAACTATGCTATATTTAACTTACCCTTCCTTTTCACAGCCTTCAGCAATATTCTCAGTAAGATAAAGGTTTTTTTTTTCTATTTTTGTTAACTTACAGTGTTTTATATTGTTTTTGTTGATTCACATTTTTTATATATTGATTGACCTTTTTAGAAAGCAGACATATAATTTTGGGGTGATTTTTATTTTCCTCCTTAGTTTTAGTAAATCTACTTGATGCCTTTGCAGAGAATTGAACAGATGTTGGATCTATTTCCAAATACTTTAGGAAGACTGGACTGGTTATGCACATGGAAGAGTTTTCTTGCTACTGACAGATGAATTGAAACTGAATGTATCATGATTCTAAGCCCTCTACGCATGCCATATGGAACAACAATCATCTCTTTGTATGGTGTTTCTCTGCACACAGAGGTTATATGCCAGAGTGAGATTTATTGTTAATGTATCTCTTCGCCTTTCTTCTGCATGCTGAAAACTGACCTGCGGTAATAAGTTTTTTCTTTATCTGTTATCAAGTCATGAATAAATTAGTCTTGCTTTCTCCTCTGAGGCCCAGATCCATATTCCACTGTTGATTGCTGAATGTTGATTGTTTTAGTGAATGGAAATGAACTGGCAAAATGCCATCCAGAAGATTTGAGCCCTGGCAAACGAATCGTGTGCATGGGTGGACGAACAGGCACCCTGAGAGAAATAACATTTGCATAGTTTATTGCCATTTATAAGCATTTGCATATACTCCTAATTCTCCTGACTACCCCGTGAAAGAAACAATGTAGATTTTGGTTGTCATTTTATAGATGGAGGATGAAGACGATAGAGAAATTGTGGCTTGCCCAAGGTCACAAAATGCAGTGAGAGAACCACAAGTCATGCCCAGATCTCTGCCTCTAAACACTGCTGCTTTGCCTTCTGGGCATTTTGTTCTCTCCAAACCTGGGCCTTTGCCTCTGAATACTCTACTTTTCTCTGTGACTTGGTGAAAGTGAAAGTCGCTCAGTATTTGTTGTTTAGTAAATAGCATTCAGTGACTCCTGAACTTTGTTTTCTTCTCTGGCTCCTAGTAAAACATTCAAGATAACAGAACATTTCAGCTCTTGGCTCAGAGGAGGTTGAGGATTATTTGTATAATTGAATTAATAAACTTGTCCTCAGAATCCCCGAGTAGGCTCTAGAGTCTAGAACATGCTCAGTAGAGTCTGCCTTTTGTGACCCTATGGACCGTGGTCATCAGGCTCCTCCATCCATGGGACTTGCCAGGCAAGAATCCTGGCGTGGACTGCCATTTCCTCCTCCAGGGCATCTTCCAGACCCAGGGCTCTGAACCCGCATGTCCTGTGTCTCTTGCAGCGGCACTTTACCACTGAGCCGCTGGGAAGCCCTACCCAACGTTACAATGCGTAGAATCAAATATGTTTACCTTGCCCTGAGACTTTGGCCACTTTTTATATAAACTGAGTAACTCTAGGTCATAAATCAATGTTCTGCTTCTATTTCTATTTTTTGGTAAGTTATGAGATGAGAGACAAGGGAGTAGGAGCGAATAAAATGGATCTAGTCACTTGCAAATCTCTCAGTAATAGATACAATGCATGGGGCAGACCAGAAGCATTTTTGTATCAGAGATAGCTGGCTAGCATTTCAGTTTTTTTTCAGGAGGGCAAGTCTTGTGTTTGTATTTTCATTCTTATTTTTAGCTTTATTGGAGTATATGTGATTTACAGTTTTGTGTTTCAGATGTACAGCCAAGTGATTCAGTTATAAATATGTGTTTATTCATTCTTTTTCAGATTCTTTTCTCATATAGGTTATCACAGAATATTCAGTAGAGTTCCCTGTGCTATCCAGTAGCTTCTTGTTGGTTCTGTATCTTATATATAGTAGTGTTTTTGTTCATCCCAAGCTCTTGATTTATGCCACCCCCCCCCCGACACACACATTTTCCTTTGGTATCTATAAGTTTGGTTTCAACATCTATAAGTCCATTTCTATTTTGTAAATAAGTTTATGTTGTGTCATTTTTTAAAAATTAGATTGCACACATGAGTGATATCATATGATGTTTGTCTTTCTTGGTCTAACTTACTTCATTTAATACGAGACTCTCTAGGTCCATCCATGTTGCTGAAAGTGGCATTATCACATTCTTTTTTTATGGCTGAGTAACATTCCCCTGTGTATACATACCACATCTTCTTTATCCATTTGTCTGTCAAGGGCCATTTGGTTGCATTCTTTATGTGTCTGTGTTTCAAATAGAACTTCAATGGAAAGGAACAGAAATTCAGAAAGTCTCTGAAGCTTTAGATATATTTCTGCTTCAAGAAGGGTTTTTTTTTTTTTTTTTTAAAGAAAGGTGCATTTTAAAGAAATCAGGGTAAGGAAAAGATAGAGCTTTTTCAAAGCTCCATCTGGTAAGGAGATGAGTGATCTGCGGAGGACAGGAAATGGGAGGAAGAGAGTGCTAGAAAGCCTGCTGGAGCTATAGCTACCTGGGAGTCCCAGTAGAAAAGTGGCAGCAAGCTTGTCCCTCTGAATTCCGTGCCAGGAGACCTTCAATAGTAAGGGAACAAATGTGATGAAGCAGAAGTTTGATGCCAGGTAGCTTCTGACCCAACAAACATTTCTTTTCTGCCAAATACAAAAATAAGTAAGACTCAGGCTCTGACCTTGGACTCCCCAGCCAGCAGGAAAGGAAAGCAAATAAACACATATCACAAAACAAAACAGCAAGTCTTTCTGTAGAAGTAAGAGTAATAGGATCTATTGAGTGGTGAAAATGGGCCAGATTTATTCCGTACATTTATTATTTGATTGGATCCATTACCGATTACAGGTGCAGAACTCAAGAGTCAGAGAGGTTAAATGACTTGGCAAGGACTGCACAGCTAGCAAGGGAAATACAGCCCCCTCCCCCCAGGAGAGTGACCTTGGCTCTCTAAGCAAGCAAGTATGGATGCCTATGGAGTTATCCTTTTAGATACTTTGTGGAATGTAAAGATAAGTGACCCGTAGTCCCTGCACTTGAAGAGTTTGTAGTAAATGAGGAGGAATTAGACAGATATGATAGTCCCCAAGGTTTATTGTGAGATGAGATGAAGTGAGGGTCACAGAAAACTTAGAGGATTATGGGAATTAAAATGAGGTTCCGTGGGGGAGCTGGTGCTGGCAATAGTAGAGTAGAAAGCATTTGGATCTCTGCAAGGTAGGGTCCCCAGGCTCATGTTACAGCTTGTAGACGTAATGTACCGTACTTGTTAGAGCTACAAGGTACTACTTCATATTCTATAGAGAAAGCATTTACGTTTATGCACACAGCCGTCTGCAAACAGAACAGCTGAGTTATAATTACTGCTAGATGTGCATAAGGAAACCAAAACTAGAGATCTGTCTGTCGGGATGTCTCAGAATCCTGCAGAGTGATTCAGGTGCAAAAATGCTTTCTCCCCTAAAAATGCTCTAGAGAGGCAGGAAGCTACTAATTGCTCCATCTTTTCCATCAGTTCTGACCCAGTTCACTGGCACCCAGGAGCCAAGAGATTACCTGACTCATAGAGCAGTAGAAGACAATTTCTTGAGACCTCAGTAGAAACACGCACTGTTATGTCCTGTGAGTTAGGAGGACTTATAACTAAGGGGCAAGACAGTCTGTCTTGAATGCAAAATGAGTTTGCTTCTGGCACCATAGTGTAGGAGGAGAACCCAGAGATGGGAGCTGGCCCAGTGAGGACAGTCCACTTGTCCCTGGAGGAGACAGTCCAAGGAGGCAAGCATAAACAAGAGAAGATGGTGAGGTGATAGGGAAGTCATTGGTGGTGAGAATAAGGAGACTGATCTCTGGCTTCAAGTAACTGACCCTAATGAGACTGTGGTCCTTGTTCTGTTGATTTCAGAGGTTATGGATAAAGGTTACCATAAAGCTCGTTTCAACTCGCTATAAGATGAAACTTTTCTCATCTATGAAATGGGGCTAAAGCTTTAAATAATTGATGCCTATAAGAGTTGAGCCTGGTCCTTTCTGTGAAATGGACCTGGGTCACAAAATTATTATTATTGTTATTTTTTATTAAGATACCTGTTAAAAAAAAAACTGCAGCAGTTAAACTGTACTTCGTTTTTGTCTTAGGAAACCTTCATTTTTCCTGTTATTAAGTAAGATTTGTGTAATTGTGAATGTATTAAGAAAGGACTTAAGTGACCTTATTGTTGAGAAGTTAATTCAGTAAAACCCAGATCCACAAAAACTTTCAGTGTTTATAGGAAGATGTTGTGTGTCATCAGACAAAATGGAAACCTCCAAAGATGTGCTGAGGGCAAAGGTCAATTGTCATCTGTCTCACTAAAGCTGGTACTACCTGAAGTGGTCACAGACAGTTGGAGTCTAGAATACTATGGAGCTGTTGGTGTTTGATAACAGAATATGGTATGTCGGTTCTTGTATTGATATGATGAAAAGTAACTGATAGACTTTGGGAATTTTTTAGTGGGGAGAGGTTTATTTTTTACTTTGCATAAGCTATGGGAAAATGTAATCATGTTAGCTAGATAGGAGACATCAATAACCTTGCCACATGATCCTAAAAAGCACCATGAAAGCTAAAAATGCTGTAAATCAGCCCAGCCTCTTAAGTTTTTCTTAGGTTTTAAGAGCCCAGAGAGTCAGGTGTAAGCATATATAAGTTTTAATGCCAGTGACAGTGTAGTGGCCATAATTGTGAGAAGGTGAAAAAAATTCATTGGGAGATCAACAATATCCAAGTGAATGTATGAGCAAAGACTGGATTAATATATGACAGAAGAATTTTAGAGGAAAAGCCAAAAAAAAAAAAAATGCATTAGCCTAGAAGAATGATGGCTAGAAAAAAGTGATAAAATTTTAGTAACAAGCATAAAATATTTGAATAAATGAGGAAATGCCTCATGTTCTTGGAAGAGTAAATGTTGTAAACATGTCACTTCTATCCAAAGTGAGTCATAGGTTTAATGCAAACCCAAATAAAACATTTGGGCTTCCCTGGTAGCTCAGTTGGTAAACAGTCTGCCTGCAATGCAGGAGACCTTGGTTTGATTCCTGGGTCAGGAAGATGCCCTGGAGAAGGGATAAGTTACCCACTCCAATATTCTTGGGCTTCCCTCGTGGCTCAGGTGGTAAAGAATCTTCCCACAATGCAGGAGAACTGGGTTCGATCCCTGGATTTGATCCCTGGGTTGGGAAGATCCCCTGGAGAAGAAGACGGCTACCCACTCCAATATTCTGGCCTGGAGAATTCCATGGAATTGAACACGACTGAGTGACTTTCACTTTCATTTTCAAATAAGACATCTGTGTGTTTGTTTATTTTTGTTGTTTAGTTTCTTGATTTTTATAATAGTTCAATAAGAGATGACATAGGGATGGGAGATAAATGAGAGTTAATGAAGAAATAGATTCAACGAGGATTGGTTATTGATCAGCTGTGTGGGCTGAGGGAGGAAATCTAGAATAATTCACAGGCTTCTGCCTCAGAGATTAGCTGGATCATTGTGGCTTTCACTGTCACAGGCAAAATAGAGGAAAGAACAGGTTTGAGGAGGAAGGTGATGAAATCAGCTTCTGACATTTGAAATCAAAATGTCTGTGAAATGTCTAAGGAAAGATATTTTGGAAAGCTATGGGATACAAAAATCCAGAGCCAAGAAGATAGATCTGGACTAGATTTTTTAAACAGCATAGGCACATGAAAGTCATAGCTGAAACAATTGACATGAATGTAATTACTTGCAGAAAAGCTATAGACAAAGAGAAACAGACAGAACCCTTGGAAATGCCCAGCACTGGAGGAGAACATGGAGGAAGAGGATGCTTTAAAAATATGGAGAAACAATAGCCAGAGAGGTGGAGTCAACTGAAAGAAAATGGTGCTGTGAAAATGAAGGCATTGAGAAAGTCGATCAAGTCAAGTCGTTCAGAAATACCGAGTAAAATCAAACTTTCATGCACATTGGTACATTGTTTAAGCTGATAATATCTGTCTCTTTTTGTAAAGCGTAGACCCTTTGACTCAGTAATTTCATTTCTAGGAATTTATCATGCAAATAGACTTCTACAAGAATACAAGACGTATCTATAAGAAAGTTTACTACACCTTTTTGTTGTTGTTGTTGGGTTGAGGTTACAGGAAAAGTCAACAATGACCTAAATACCCATCAATAGATGACTGAGTAAATATAGTATATGTCCAAAATAGAATAGAATGCGGGTGTTGAGCACTGAAATCAATATGTACTTATGGGGAAAGTCTGACGCACAGTGTTAGAAAATAATACAGGAGACTACAAATAGCAGTTCAGTGAAAGGTTAAACAAGCAGCAGCCCTAGCTTCTTGACTTCCAAGTCCAGAACTGCTGCTTACCAGTAGCAGAATACTGGGAAAGTGTCTTCATTTCTCCATGCCTTTCCTGTTCTTCTTTGCTTAAGATCAACTCTCTAGTTGGCGCTTGTTTTTCTGAACTTCTTTCTGGATTCAGTATTAAAACCTTCAGTCTCATGCCAGGACTCCCACGTCACTGATACCTACAACAAAAGGGAGAGAGAAGGTCCTCTTGCATTTGGTAACAAGGAAGTTATTGGCACTTCCACCAGCTGGGTTCAGTGGAGGAGAAAGCAGAGCCCGAGGGTGGCGGGAGAAGCCAGGAGTGAGCCGTGTGGAAGAGGTGGAGTGAGCGTTGGCAAGACTTCTGGAGCAGCTGCAGAAGGAAAAGTTAAAATAGAGGAAGAGGTGTATTTAAAGACGTGAGGTTGCTAAGGAGGTGGGAAAGGATGGATAGGGTTCTCAGCTCAGGGGGTGCGTTAGTTTTGGAACAGAAGCTACTACACAAGCCTAGAGCCTCCTTATAGGGAAAAAATACCTGGAAGCTCAGAGGGTTCCTGCTTAATCCCTCCTATTTGCTCTCCCCAGGACAAAGGGGTTGATGTTAGGGAGTCAAAGAGCATGATGCTGGTTAGGATGGTCCCTGAAGAAACGTGAGAAAGGGGAGCTTCCTAGAGTCATTGCCTAGGATTTCTGAGCAGTGTTTAGCAGGTCTGATTATGAAAACTATAGGTTTATGGGATCAGAGCGGCTCTGCACTTCTCCCTGGAAGTCCCAGAATCAGGATTTCAAGTGTAGAGCATGCCTTTGGACCAGGCTGCAGGCTGTCTCAGAGGAAACCCAATACCAAAACGACTATAGACAGCCCTTCCTCACTGTTTCTGCTTCGGGCCAGCTCCAGTAGGAAGCTTGATCTATCAAACAGAGAGGAGGATATTTTGTATAGCTTCCCTCTTGTAAAAACAAGACCTTGATTTCCTTGTTTAAAAGCATAATACAAAACATTGACTAGCTCAACAAATCACTGCCACTGTGAGTGGCTTTATGTATTAACACCTAATTCATCAACACAGCACGTTCAAACACTTGGGTGTCTTTATTTAACCCATGAAGTTTTTACCACCATAGTCATTACACTGCCTTTGTGCACCTCTACTAATATCTACCTCTTAGGGCTTTATTCTATGGGACGTTGAGCTGGCCTCATTATCAGTAATGAGTATTTTCTGTTGAGTATCACAATTCATTTTGATCCTTTATTATAACCTTTTTTGAAAGTGGGATACTTGTACATTGTGACACTATAAAGAGACGTTACTAGGGAACCAAGTGAATGTTTCTTTCATCAGAGAATTCTTAGAAGTCATATTCAAGGGCTGAGAGGTTTGTGGAACTTTGGAACACATGGCAGTACTCAGGATGCAGGGAAGAAAGCAAAGAGCAAACTTGCTTCGCTCCCCCCACCCCTCACCAAAGGCCTTAAGGCAAAGGCTTGTATTAATTGAGTATTTTGGGGGCTCTGAGACTGAATCACTGGGATAGACATCAGAGAAAACCCTCAGTGTCTTTGGTTAAAAATTTACATTTGATTAACTTTGGTCGCTTTAGAAAATATAATAATTAAAAAAAAAGAAAATATAATAATTTATTCATAGGAGATTGTGATTACCCAAAAGTGAGGCAGCATGGTATAACAGATAAATGAAACAGAAGAATGTGGTAGTCAAGTAGCCAGAGTCTTGCCCTTGGACTTCAGTTCCTCATGTGCACATTGTCTCCTTGGGTCTGTGCTTTTAACCGGGAGGAACTGGTATTTACATAGAATCTATTCACCCATACATGTGCCTTTTGCTCTAAGAACAAAATAGGTCCCTGGTTACCTGGATAACAGAACCAGCCTGTCCCTTCCTCTGTGAAGTAAAGAGTGTGAATAATTCATCTCTAAGGTCCCTTTGAGTTCTTAGATGCTTATCATTTTCTGTGGCCCCTATTCTCATGGTAATTACAATCAAAAGAGCCAACTATGATGAGGTGGAAGAGCACAGGTCTTAGCAACAGTAAGGTCTTATTCACAACTTAGTTCATGCTTTTTTAGCTGTGTTACCTTGGGTACATGATCTAAACTTTCTGGGGCTCATTTTCCTTCATCTATAAAAGAAGCTGATAACTCCTACTTCATAGGATTCTTCTGAGGATGAAATGAAGTAATATATGAGCATTATCATTACCACAAATAATAAGTGATAATAAGTGACATGGAAATCACTTCCCTGTATATGCACATTGGATTTGGGGTAATAAAATGCTAGCGGATCTAGTGGTTGGTTATTTTTGTCCCCCAGATACTATTCACACCTCTGCAAGAGAGCTTATCATACTGACCTGATGTTTATTTATCTGTCTGTCTGACAAACTACCTGTGAGTTCTCCCCTGCAGGTCAACTCAGTCAGTTTAATGAGAACATAATGGGTCCTCAAGGACAGTATTATCTAATGACTGCTTGACATCCTATAGGTGTTTAATAAAGACTTTTTTAAATGAAAGAATATAGCAGGAGCAGAATAGATAAATGGAATTATTCTTAGATATTTTCTCTTTTCACAGGACAGAATTATGTCTATCATATTTACTTTTCAAAACATTTCTACCCCTGATCTATCGCAAATACCTGGTTAGGAATAACAGTGGTCTGACACACCTAGGATCTGATTAATGCTTGTGTATCTGACTACATGGACTTCCCGGGTGGCGCTAGTGGTAAAGAACCCACTTGCCAATGCGGGAATGTAAGAGATGAAGGTTCAGACTCTGGGTCAGGAAGATCCCTTCAAGGAGAGCATGGCAACCCACTCCAGTATTCTTGGCTGGAGAATCTCATTGACAAAGAAGTCTGCCAGGCTGCTGTCCATAGGGTTGCAAAGAGTCTTACACAACTGAAGCGACTTTGCACACACACGCATCTTACTGTATATTTTATTGGTTAAATTACAGCCAAATATGTATTATTACCTGTTCATTGACAGATATTGATTTAGTGATGATTGTAGCTGTAGATCCACAGAGAGCATCATTATCACCATTTACTGGTTTGGCCAGAAAGTTCCTTTGGGGTTTTTTCATATTACAGAAAAACCCAAACGAACTTTCTCGCCAACCCAGTGTTTAGTCATGGGTGTAAGAATTGTTATGATCAAAACATTCCCTTCTGTTATTTCCTCAAATGGAAAAAATGTACTTACCGTTCTCAGTACAGTTGAATTGTACCTCCTATGAGAAGCCTTCTTCAGTTCTTTCCAGCAGAATTCATTGTTTCTTTCCTTGGACTTTTAAAGCTCTTTATATGCCATTAATACATATCACACTTATTATATATAGTACATATCAATTATATATTAAGAGTATATTAGATATGTTGTAAATGTCTCTAGAATTTATAAATGTGTATTATAGAAGTTTAATATTATCTCACTTTCTGTCTCAATACCTATGCACACAGGTCACAGGTAGACACATACATTGTGAGCCTTTTAATGACAGGGGCTGAGCCTTAGTTTAACTTGCTCTGCTAATGTGCGAGGAACAAGTTTTCTCATTAGACTTCAGCCAGATAATGTTCTGTGTCTCAGGGCCTGTCATAGTACATATCACCTATGCTGGGCAGTAAAGGTTTGGTGGTTTTAATTAAACCAAGCCCTCAGTACATACATAGCATTAAGAAGGGACTAATACTTTTACTTTTGTTTACTTCCCTTTTGTATGAATGTGACGTCATATACCCTGAGGTTCATGGCTGTTTTTGTTTTTAAACCAAAATTGACCTTCCAGGCCATTGGTTTTCAGGATAGTGACTTAAAGCACTGGATTCTGGTTGTTTCTGTCAGACCGAAGCATCCAGGTGGTTCATGCCGTGCCTGTCTCTTGTGTGATGAGCAGTCTCAGAAGTTATTCTGGACGCATGCCTGGTCCTGACAGAGCTATCACATAAACTTCAAAGAATTAAGGCTCAAAGAAGTTGTCAAGAAGCTGCTTTCTTTTCTTACCCACAGACACGATTTTAACTGCCGGGTTCTGTAAACAGCTGGCATGATTTATTTGGTACCTGGTTCAAATGCTTTTGACAAGACCCTTTATATTTACAGCATAGGTCAAATTCTGTAGCATCAAGTGATCTATACCGAATTATTTGCATTTAAAGAACCCATCTTTTAGGAGAAAGGGGTTATTATTTTCCCCATCTACCACGTGCACATAAGTTCTTGCCAACTACTAGAAGCCTGTGATGTTTGGAAAACAGCATCCACTGCCCCATCCTGGGAATTTTTAAGGCTCTCAGTTTTGTTTTCCAAGGAAAACTAGAAACAAAAATCAAAACAGAAAAGCTTTAAAGATTTCAAAGCCAACACTCTTCCTGAAAACTTTTGGGAAGATGTCTCGCACCATTATCTTTGTAGAAGAAACAAGGCAAATTGTCCTCTTGCACATTTTTCAGTGAGTTGGTCTGAATGCCGAGTGTTTCCCATGCCAGTCCGAGTGGTAGAGTTGCCTGTCCCCACTGGATACAGACTCCACTGAGGAACAGGCAGTTAATAAATAAAGCACAGGAAACACTCACCTGTGACATTCACCAACTCATGTGAAGATGTTACTAAATGTAATTGTGGATATTCACTTTCTGATTTATGCTTGTGTAAGATGGGACAATTTCTCAAACTTTTAGATGAAGGGAAGTACAGTCTGTTACGGAGCCTCTGGGTGAACATGGCTAGTTTTCGTGTAGACTATTGTATACCAGGTGTTTTGCTAGTTACTTTGCATGTATCATTTTATTTACCCTTAGAAAAACAGTTAAGAGGTAGGTCTTATAAGCTCCATTTTATTGCTAGTATTTTGAGTTTCAATGAAGTTCAAAGTTTTCGATAAACACCTAACTGGTGCTTGAGGAGCCAGAATATGAACTGAGTCTGCCTGCAAAGCCAGTTCCCTCTTTCTCCTTCCTGACTGCTTCCTCTTTACCCAGTTTTAGAGGTAGAAGTAAGAAGCGCAAGCTCATGGTTTAGAAGCTGGTGGGTAAATTTTCCATGTTAGGATATTAACTCTCTTACTGTAGCTCTCTAGGGATGCAGATAACCAAGAATTGGCTGCAATATGCTTTTCCTATAGATGAAATCTGTGTGTTTCCTTAGCGCTGCAGGTTCCAAATTCTAGAGAAGTTGGACATCTTGTATCAGTGGCAAAAAGCAGGAGGGAAGCCTTTGACTTATAGACTCAAATCCCCTGCTTTACCAAACCTTTCTCAGGTACCCACATTAATCTCACTGTTCAGCATCTAGAGTAATGGTTCTTTTTCTACTTTCTCCGTTTTCTTTTCTTGTTCTACTTTAAAAAAATTAATTCACTCCAATCAGATGTCTTCTATATACTTTTAGTGCTTCTTCACCCTGCCTTTGAAGGCATTCTTCTGAAAGAAAACATTGTTAGACAGGAAGGTAAAGGTAATGTCTTACTTCTGGAGGACTAAAGGACCCTCTTTCACCGAGGGAAGTGCTCACATGGTGAAACTCTGTTTCTTCTGAATCAGGTTGAGTTGTCATTTGAGGTAAAGCAGTGAGATAGGCCTAAAGCATGCAAATAGACCTTTTATCTAAAACCCCTCGGCTCCCAGATAAATTCAGGAATTGTCTTTTGAGATTTAGCATAACTGCATCTGTACTTGTAGTAGGCCAGTTGTTGAGGAAGCAAAGACTTCATCTTTAGAAACAGGCAGATAGGGTTAAAATTCCCAATCTATTGTTGACTAGCTGGGTATCACTGGTCAAGAAACTGATACTTTGAGTTTATTTGCTTATTTATAAAATGAGAATGATTAGTAACAATTGTGTGAGTGCTTATAAGAATTAGAAGTGACATATATAAACTCCCTGGCACAATGTCTGGATGCTTTAATACCTGGTCACTCTAATGGTTATTTTTCTTGGCATATTTAAGGAATAGCTGACTTTGCCTTATAAGAAGCAGCTTTCTTACTTCACTCAGTATGGCAAACTCTATTATGCAGAATCTAAAAAATATACAAATAAACTTATTTATAAAACAGAAACAGACTCCTAGACTTAGAGCATGAACTTATGATTTATCAGGGGGTGAGGCTGAGGGAAGGGATAGTTAGAGAGCTTGGGACGGACACATACCCACGGCTATATTTCAAATGGATAACCAGCAAAGACTTTCTGTATAGCATAAGGAACTCTGCTC